AGGCTGGATGAAATCGCGTCCGATGAGCAGGCCCAGCGCGGGACTGTCCACGGCCCACGGCGCTGAACACGACGCGGCCAGCCTGGCCGCGCAGCACAGGCGGCGCGGCGACGCGCAGCTTGCGCGGAAGAGCACCCCCGTAGCCGAACCCGTAGACCTCGTCCTCCGGCCCTGGGAGGATCTGGTTGGCAAGCCCCATCCTCGTGAGGATGTCCTTTTGCAGTAGTCGTACCACGTCTTGCCCGAGGCGCAGAAAAAGCAGGCGGTGTCGACCTCGCCGACGCCTTCGTCCACGGGCTTGTCACTGCCGATCGCGACGTTCACGTTCGGCAGGTGGTGGATGAGCCGCTCCGAGACGCAAATCTCTGGGGGCGGCGTGACTGGCCCCTGCGGGTGCACGGCGATCTCCTCGTCCGCGAACTGCACCTGCTCGGTGATGTGCGCCTGGCGCTGAGGACGGCCTCCGCGACCTCCTCGCCCGCCGCCCTTTGACTCGCCGTCCTTGGGCGCGAACTTGCGAGTACCTGGCGCGGGGCGCCCCTCGTCCCCTGCCCAGTGTCCGGTCTCGCCGCAGCCCCGGCAATAAATGCCACTCTCGCGCTGGTCGACTCGGCCCTGTACCTTGGTCGGGCGGCGGGGCGGTGCGGACCTTGACTTGCCGCGGCCCGCGGGGGCCTCCCGGGCCGATCTGACGGCGGCCACGGCCTCGGGAATCGCCGTCGAACAGCTCGGAGACGTCTACGTTGGAGGACTCGAGCTCGGCGCTGAAAGCCTCGAGCTCCTGGCGAACGATGTCCTGGACGTCGATCTCGTCCTCGTCGTCCTCCTCTGGCTCTTCGTCGTTCTCGTCGCCCGGCTCGTCGACGACGTCGGTAGAGCGCCCCCCGCGGCCGGAGGAAACGTTGCTGCGCCAGCCGCCTTGCGAGCGCGACTGGTTGGTCCATGACCTCGGCGTGGGAGCGCGGCGCTCCGACGTGCGGATGTCCGGGAACATCCTGACCAGCAGCCCGCGCATGCGCTGGTAGCCGTAGTGCTCGTCGGGCAGATGTCCCGCGACACGCTCTCAGCGCTCTGCCGTGGGCCCAGCTTTGCGCGGCAGGAACCATCCCGCCACGTCGCCCAGCGCGCTGAGGTCCACCTCATTCTAGCGCAGCTGCTGCAATCCTGTCTCGAAACGGACGAGCCAATCCGTCATGCGTTCACCTCTTCGCCGGTGATGTTGAGCCGTCTCGAAGAACTTCTCGAGGGTCTCGCCCTTCTGCAAAGGCTTCTGCTGGCCCAAACTAGCCTCCAGGTGTTGTAACACGTTCTCTATGCCGGCCTGGTTCCTATTGCGCTTCCTATCATCGGGGTCTTCGATGTCCACCGCGGCTGCTGGACGCAGCTGCGCCTCCGTCATATTTAGCGCTGCGCCGCGAGCTGCCCCACTGAGCTTCAGCACGAGCTTCGATGCGATACGAAGAGCCACGGCGAGGTTCTCACTGAGCTTCAGAGCTTGACCTCCTGTTTGTAGTCTCTCCACTTCGCCGGGTCGCCATTCCATGTAGGGATGGTGTTGCACGCGCAGTTACCCGTCATTTTGTCAAGAATGAGGTGGTGAGCCGCGTCGCTGACACTGACGTCGAAAGAGAAATAGGCGTTGACGCAGGCGTCGCTGACGCGGGCGTAGAAGAAGTAGGCGTAGATGCTGGCGTCGCTGACGCTGGCGTTGGAGAAATCGGCGCCGACGCTTGCGTCGCTGACGCTGCCGTAGGAGAAGTAGGCGCCGATGCTTGCGTCGCTGACGCTGCCCTGGAAGAAGTAGGCGAAGTAGTCGTTGATGACGGCGTCGCTGACGCTGTCGTGAGAGAAGTAAGCGTTGAAGTCGGCGTCGCTGACGCTGACGCACGGGAAGTAGGCGCTGGCGACGGCGTCGCTGACGCTGTCGGAGAAGTAGGCGTGGATGTCGGCGTCGCTGACGCTGACGTACGGGAAGTAGGCTTTGGAGGCGTAGATGACGGCGTCGCTGACGCTGTCGTAGGAGTTGGCAGGGTAGGCGTAGATGTCGGCGTCGCTGACGCTGACGTGGATGATGCTAGCGTCGCTGACGCTGGAGAAGGCGCTGAGCAACAGCGCGACCAGGCTGGTCAGGAAGCCGCTGGGCTTCGATGCAGGAAGACGCGTCGCAGACGCCGTCTTGCAATATGTACGGCCGCAGGCCGGGATAGCGGAACGGCCTCGCTCCAGACTGCCACTGTGATATGGATGCGCGCGCGGCGCGGATCTTTGGGCGAAAGCGAGCCGGCTCGAGCGGTCTGCGTAGCACTTAGGCCAAGGGCCCTGACAACCGCAGACCCCTCGAGGTTTCTGGGGAAACCCTCTCGGGCCTCTTACATTCCTGGGGAGTGAACTTGATTCGCACATTGTGTTCTCAATCATCCAAGACGTGTCTACAATTTCCCACGAGACCGCTCCTTCGACTCAGATCGTTGTTGTCGACGGCCGAACAACGGCCCCGCAAACGCCGAAATCTACCGAAAACCTCTGGCCATGATCAACCAACATCGAATCGGGAAACCGGATCGAGTCGGAACGCAAATCGGATCGGACCCCATTGGCACGGAATCGAAATCTAATGCGACTGGCCGCGCCAGGACGCACAAGAACGGCATTTTTACAAACGACGCGCCGAAACGGATCGAACAAACATCGGAATCGAATCGGATCGGGCTGATTGAATCGGATCCATCGGATCGAAATGGACCCTGCCTGCGGCTGTTCCCTACGACGACGGAAAGTCCTGGGGTCAAAGATAGACTAGATCCTGGACCTGCCCTGGGACACATTCTGGCCATAATTTCAAAAAGAACATGGCCGTGGCGGCAAGAAGCCTCCGAGCGGCCCAGAATTAGGTCGCCCCGGAACAACTGTTCAAATCTAGGTTGCATCAAAGCTTGAAATAAGTCTGAAAACAATGTGAAATCCCGAAGCGGGCAAAGTATGAGTGTGAGTTTGCCCGGATGTGGAAAATGTACGCCGGGATCTGGAAGTTAGAAAAGTTTGACACAAGCTTGAAAAATCACGCCAGGATTTGGAAATCTTGCACAAATGACGGTTGACAGCATTGAACATTTGTTTCGAAAGTTTGGAAAGTTCGTTCGCAATTTGACACAATGTACGCCCGGATTTGGAAATTTAGTATTAAAAAACATAATCTAGGACAATACGTATGGGCTTGGAATTGTGCTAAATTGAATCAATTTTTGAAATTAAAAACGTCCACACTTCAGTCTGAAAACCTGTTGGACAACAGCTTGAAACACAGTCTGACAATTTTGGAAACTATATTCGTATTGATTCATACCTTTTTAGACTTCGATTTTCCCTCTGTCTCACACTCATATATCCTACTTCGAGTTTCCCGCGCCCACTAGGGCAGGCCCAGAAAGGGCGCGAGGGGACAATCAGGTGCTGGTGCACTTGTCCAAACAAGCAGGAGGACGGGGAAGGAAGGGAGAAAAGAGGGAGGATAAGAGAACAACAGCACCAGTAGCCCAGATCCACGGATCAAGGAAGGTACACGTACATTGGGTCCATGCTCCCAGACATCCAGCGCTCCGACTTTTTCGATGCGTGGATCCCCGGAGGTCTGGACCACTTCCCTGGAACCGGTTCTCCCCCCTGAGTCGTCTCTTGACGGTCCCAGGGCCTGTTGAGGGCCCCTGGAGGCTCCAGTTTTGCTGAGCCGCGGATCTCTGGGCCCGCGCTTCCTCAACACACAGGACGAAAGACGCCCCAGAAAACTCTGCCCTCGAGCCTCGACCCCCCTCGGCCCTTCGGGACGGACCAGAGGGCCCCGCTGGCCGACGGCGAACGGGCCCCACCCACCAACAACCGGGGAAGAGGCCGGTGCAGGGCACGTCGTCGAGGGCCAGTGGGACACAGAAGGGCACACAACCGCAGTGCGGACGCGGACGCAAGAAACCCTCTCAAAGCTCTTGCACGAACGCGGGAGGTCGCTGCGCAGCGTGCGAAGCAGAGAAGCCCAGGGTACCCTGACGGGAATCATCTGGTGTCGTGATGCGCGGCCCCACTGTACGGTGCGCCCGCCTTGGAGGCGCACGTCCGAACCGAACATCCAGCACAGGCATCTCATCACGTGTCGTTGCCCAGGCAGTGTGGCCAGAAAGCACCCGCCACCGAGCATCGAATTTAGGATTTCTGAGCGCGCGCTTCGCCCACGGGGGGCGACGCAAACACAATTAGCATAAGTAGCCATGCTTGGGTGATGCCGAGTCCAGGGTCGAGAATCGAGGCTCGAGGGTCGAGGCCGGGGATCGAGGGTCCAGGACCAAGGCCCACTCGCATGTGCTGATTTGCAAATCCAAATGCGAGTGACCTCCAGCGGATGCTCCTGCGCCATGCAGTCCAAGAGAACGAAAGCTACCTGCGATACGGGCCCAGGGGAACGCGTTGGCAGTCGTGTTGGCCTGGCTGTGAACAAAGATGGTACTAGTACGATGCCAAACAGCACATGTTGTCCAACACCGAGAGCCGCCGCTGTTGGGCAGGCGACTTCCTGTCTCAACGCCCGCGGCGACTCCGACAGCGAGCCCCATTTGAAATAGACAGAAACTGCTATCGGTCTTCCTACACGTTCTTGCAGCACTCAATTCGACTCCTCGGAAGTTACTAAAAGGTGCCCCGGGCCCAAGGTACCCCCAGCGTTTCGCTCCGATTTAGAGCCCCTGGGGCCGTGGGGGGCCTCCTTGGGAATTCTGGAGGCACCTTGGGCCAGGCCCAAAAATCTGGCCGCTCCAATTTTTTGATGCGTGGGCCCCGGACGTCTGGACCACTTCCCCAGGGCTGGTTCCTCATCCTGAACCGCTGGAGGCTGAAAATGGCAAACAACCTCCCGGCATGATTTTTCCTTGGCTCGAGGGGGCACTTCTAGCAACACCCGAACTGCGCCGAGATCCTCGTTGGCCTGGCTGCGCCTGCGCTCGGGGGTGCCCGCCGGCCTGGGACAGCAGCAGAGCGGACAGGTCGGCGGCGGGCAGGCGGGCGGAGGCCACCTTTGGGCGTCGACGACGACGGCGCCCACGACAACGCCGACGCCGGCGCTGACGCCGACGCCGCCGACAAACGATGACGCCGACGCCGCCGACGACGAAGACGACGACGACGGCGACGTGGACGTCATCGTCGACGTCGCCTCGTCGTCATAGTCGTGGTTGCTCCATCGCGCGATCGCCCGGTCCTCGGGGGCGGCCTTGAAAGTGCGGATCTTGATTCTAGGATTCCAGGTCCTCAAGAACATGGCTGTGGGTCCTCTTGGGTGACGCCTTTCATACACCAGGGCTCTGTGCCTCTTATCTCGTGCGTCCTTCCTCTTCCGCCTCCACCCTGCCTCCTGCCCTCCTAGGAGCCCTCTCTTCTCCCCCCTCCCTTCTCCGCCAGCCTCCTCCTCCGCTCCACCCCCTCCACAATTAAACAATATGAATACTACTCTCCTCTCTCCCCTGGTGGCGTCCGGCAAATTGCTGGCCCCCCTCCGCGTACTGGTTTTCTACACAGGATTCCCAGGAAACGGACTTTCGCTCGGTTTTTTTCCCAAACATGATGCCCTCGCTGAAGCGCTGGCTTCATTTTCGGACAATCGCTCGTTCCGAATTGTGCTCCCGCGGCAACGTTGGCCTCATATCCGCGCTTCCGCTCGTTCCGAATCGTGCTCCCGCTGCAGCGCTGGCGTCATTATTGCCAGTGCCATGCCACGGCATGGTTTACGGTCTTTCCAAATAAATTCCAAAGCTAGAAAATGCCTCCCGAAAAACCATCAGAAGTGATTACATATTCGGAGTCGGTTCGTTGATTTTTGGGCTGCAGTAGCCCTTTGGGGCGTCGCAGCGCCATGCTATGTCAAGCTACGCGTCCTCATTTCCGCGCTTGCGCGCTTGGGTTTTGTTGTTCAAAATGCTGCTCCGGCTGAAGCGCTGGCCTCATTTCCAGGCTACCGCTCGTTCTGAATCGCGCTCCCGCTGCAACGCTGGCCTCATTTCCGCGCTTCCGCACGTTCCGAATCGTGCTCCCGCTGCAGCGCTGGCGTCATTATTGCCAGTGCCATGCCACGGCATGGGTTTCGGTCTTTCCAAATATATTCCAAAGCTAGAAAATGCCCTCCCGAAAAAAACAGCACAAGTGATTACATATTCGGAGTCGGTTCGTTGATTTTTTGGGCTGCAGTAGCCCTTTGGGGCGTCGCAGCGCCATGCTATGTCAAGCTACGCGTCCTCATTTCCGCGCTTCCGCGCTTGGGTTTTGTTGTTCAAAATGCTGCTCCGGCTGAAGCGCTGGCCTCATTTCCAGGCTACCGCTCGTTCTGAATCGCGCTCCCGCTGCAACGCTGGCCTCATTTCCGCGCTTCCGCACGTTCCGAATCGTGCTCCCGCTGCAGCGCTGACGTCATTATTGCCAGTGCCATGCCACGGCATGGGTTTCGGTCTGTCCAAATAAGCCCCAACATTAAAAAAATAGCTTCCCGACGACACCATCGGAAGTGATTCCACATTCGTTGTAGATTCGTTGATTTTCTGGGCCGCAAAAGCCCCCCCCCCCCCCACTCTGGGGCGTCGCCACGCCAGGCTATGTCATGGTACGCGTTCATCTTCAACACCATGCTATACCATGTCATGCTATGCCATGCTACGACGTCCGATTGTGCGAATATAGAGGAGACCTGCGCCATGGTAAGGGATGGGAGGGAGGGGTACAACGTCAAGTATGACGTGAGCGCACATAGCTTGCCGTACCACCCCATCCACCCTCTCCTTCCCCTCGGGAAGGTCGGCCCGATTGATCGGCGGTAGGCCCCTGATAGTGAAACCGCACGCTCCTGGACGGGGTGGGCTTTCAGGCCCCATATCGGCGAGCGATGGGCGATGGGCGGTCGATGCATCCCCCCCTGATAAGGATGCACGATAAGGATGGAAAAGGGCCTCGGAAGGCCATGCGGACACTTTTCGAGCGGGGTGCGGCCAACGAAGGTGGCAAACGGTTGGCCGAAGGGAGAGGACGCAAGGGTACAATTGGGACGGCGGCTCATCCTTACCATAGGATTATCCGATTGCCCATCCTATTGTTGCCCACGGTGACATCAGGCACCCACATAGGTTGCAACACATAGCTTGCATCACGTAGCTCACATCACATATATCTCCTTTTTCTAAAAAGCGAATAGACGCCCCCCCCCCTGGATTTTCCCATCCCCTTCTTCGTGTTGCAATGCTCACATGAATCTTCTCCGTCGCCCATCCTAGATATGAAGACGCACCATCCCCGCCAAGCCGCTGGAGCAAATATGAAGTGCGCGCACGCTTAAATCAGAGGTGTTCAAAAATCCCTTGCAACAAACGGGACGAACTGCGCACGCGCGCGTTGTGGCGCGCGCGTGCCGAAATCCTGCAACAACCTCCGGCGTCATACAGATTGCAAAACCGAGTGCCCAACAACATATTACAACAAAGGAGCAACACTGAGTTTGAAAACGAACTTGTGCGCGCGTTCCTGCGGCTTCTTAAAAACTAGCACTGTTTACTTTCAACATGGTCCATTACACAAGAAATATCAAACGGGTTTCGCGCGCGCATGTCGGAATCGTTCGGACGCCCTTGCGCGCGTGCCGTCGCGAGAATCCTTTGCAAAACAAGCAACACGAAGTGCACGCGCGCGCGTCGTCGCGCGCGCATACTGAAATCAATCGAAAAACGTCCGCTGCGTAACGGTTTCAGAACAAACTGTCCAAGCACACATTCAAAAGCATATGATTTCGCATAACCAGTTTTCAGAAGGAAAAAAACGTGCGCTCGCGCTCTTGCGACTTCTTCGGGGGCCCATAGGATGTTCAACACGTATGCCGTCGTCAACCGCACGCCGCGTGTTTTTTGGGGGGCACGATCCGTGTCGATTCATAACATGCGGGCCACTCTCGCACGTGGGCGCGCGCGCATGTCGAACTTTTTCCAAAAAACTGCATCACCGGCGCGAGGACGCCGTCATCGTCGTCGGCGTGATCAGTATCGGCACCCGCACTGGCCGCGCCTTCGTCGTTGTCAACATCGTCACCAGCATCGCTACCATCATCATCGTGCCTACCGTCGTCGACGTTGCCATGGTGCGCGCCCGCCCAAGAAGCCGACTCGCAAAGGAATGCCCGCTGGGATGTGCCCAACGGTCAGCGCCACCGCGGCCGCGTCGGTCGCGCCAACTAGCTGGCCGCTGCGCGCGCGCTTGGGTTGGCGCGGCCGCAGAGAGGCACCCAGCCAACGCCAAGCATGCGTCGCAATCGCCACCGCGTGGGTTTTGCAAACCAAGTTGCGCGTGGGTGGGTGGGGTGGTTGCCAGAGCATGGGATGTGTCAATTCGTGTGTTAAACTCAATTGCGCCCCGCACTACGCTACCTACATCACATAGATTGCACCACGTCGACTGGACGAACTTGCTGATTGGGGTCCACGCTGGCCAATATTCCAATGCAAAAAAGGCACAGTATTGGGAGCAAGGAGCAAGATCTCCATAGACTGAACTAGAACTCCTACAGGCAAGCCTATTTGGAGAATCGCCATTATCATCATCATCGTCATCACCAACATTACCATCATCAACACAATCGCCATCACCATCATCATTAGAATGACCAGCACCTTCAAAAACATCCGGAACCTCACCGTTACCAAAGTCTACCGCATCCTCATCACCATCACCATTACCAGCACCATCTTCACAAGAATGAGCAGAATCACCATCAATCTCAACATCAGCATCACCATCATCTTCATAACCATCACCGTCACCACCACCATAATAATTGTCCTACTCCTCCTTCTCATCTTCCTCCTTTTCATTATTATCGCCATCATCATCATCGACGTTCCTCTGTCTCCTCCCTCGTCGTTCACTGCACGTCCTCCTCCGCCGCTTCCTCCTCATCCTCACCAGCACCACTAACATCAACATCAACACCATCATAAACATCAACATCGCCATAAGTGTCAACACCGTGAACATCATCCTCATCATCACCACCACCATCATAATCAACATCATCACCAGCAGCAACAGCATCCGCATGATAGTCATCGTCATCGTTATCAGCATCAACACCATCACCATCATCATCGTCATGGGCAACAACATGCTCATCATCATCATCATCATCATCATCATCATCAGCAGCAGCAGCAGCAGCAGCATGATCATCAGCAGCATCCGCATCCGCATCAGCAACATCACCAGCATCACCGCAGCAATCAGCACCATCACCCTCACCATCATCATAATCGTCATCAGCATCATCAACATCACCATCACCGTTTCTGCTCCGCTCTCCTGCGTAGTTCCTCTCCTCCCCCACCTCGTCCATCCCCTCCTCCACGACTCTTCGTCTTCCTCATTGTCGTCTGGCCCCGCCCCTCCTCTTCCTCCCCCTTATGCTCGCCCTCTCCCTCCGGGCGGGACTGCAGAGGACGGAGGCTGCGCTGGGCCGACCGCCAGGGAGCCACCCGAGGAAATGCTCAGGCTGCTGCCCATGGGGCTCGGGGGGGCGGTGCCTGGGCAGGCGGCGGCGGAAGACGGGAAGGCGTCGGATCTCACGGGGGGGACAGGCGGATGAAGAGGTGGGAGGCAGAAGGAACCGGGGAGGGGAGGCAGGAGGAGCGAGGAAGCAGGAGGGGGGCGGGCAAAAGGAGGGAGAAGGGGCAGGAAGGCAAGGGGGGGAGCAGGGAGGGGCAGGGACATGGAAAATGGGCAAGACAATCTTCCCGCGGCCACAAGTCGGCGCTTGGACGACCAGGCCTTCCATGTCCGCACCAACACAACCTCGCCTCCGAGGGCGACGGACCACCGCCGCCCCTCGCCACCCGCCACTGAGGTCGGGGACGCAGGAACCAATCAGACAAAACAGCTGCCCAAAAAAACTTCCCCCGAGCGGCTAAAACAAAAATGGATTTCGCGGAGCTCCTCAGGCTCCTTCTCGCAATGATCGAGCCTGGGGCGTGTACCGAGAATCGCCTCCTCCTGGCCGTCGCCCTCGGTCTCCTGCTGCTTCTGCCCCTTTTTGACCGTGTCTTTAGTCTCCTGGAGCTCCTCGTGGGCTTCGGACATCAACCCGAACGCGTGGCGCTCCTGGTCCGAGCCCGGGCTGCTGCTGGCGGTTGCGCGGAGGGTCGCGCCAGCACGGCGCCTGCCACTCTGCCCCCGCTTCGCCCCCCCCCCCCCCTCCCTCGGGGGAAATCAGATTCTTTCGCCAGAGGGCATGCTCAGCCGTGTTCCTCATGGCTCTGCCCTCGACCGAGAGGTTCGCCTTCGCCTCGTCGTGGGCCGCGCGGGCCTTTGCGCCGATCACGGGCTTGATCATCTCGATCCTCGCCTCGATCTCCTCCGGGACCGCCTCCCCGCCGGCCGCCTGGGCAGGCGCCGCGCGGCCGGCGCGCCAGAGGGGGGCCGCTGTGGCCGCCGCAACCTGGCGGGGGCCGCCCGCTCGAACCACGGCGCCGAGCAGCGCCTCCGCCGTTGCAGCGGGCGCGGGTGAGAGACCGCAGCCGGCCCGCAAACCCGGGGGAGGCAAGCAGGCTCTTGAGCCAAAGTGGCTAATTACGGAGGGGGCGGGGGGGGAAGGGCAGGAACAGGAGGAGCAGGGAGCAGGAGGAGGACCACGAGGAGCACGAAAGCAGCAGGAGGCGGACGAGGAGGAGCACGAGGGGGGTAGCATCCCGATGACAAAACAAAAAAAAACATCGCGGGCGGTTCCTGCCCCGCGTCGAGCGAGGAGAGGGGGCGGCACGAGGGGCAGCAGGAGAAGGGGGGGGGAGGGCGAGGAGGAGAAGGAGGAGGAGGAGGGGGAGGAGGAGGGGGAGGCGGCGGCGGCGTAACGATATCGGGCCGAATGTCTCGTCTGCCAAGATACCGCGCAGCGCGAAACGCGAAGCGAAATTCAACTATGCGCGACCAATCGCGCGCTTCACATGCGGATGAACGACAGCCCCCGCCAGGAAGGGGGGGGGCGAGTTGACTTTCGCTCGACCCCGTTCATCGAACAACGCTTTATAGAAAACACGCAAGACAGTCCCTGGAGCCCATGAAAGCAACTAGGGTCTCGTCGCGAGAACGACCAAATCCTTAAAGCTCAGCCTGGGGGATAAGGGCCGTTTCGGAGGACGAGGAGGGGGGCTCGAAGGACGAGAGGGCGGAGGAGGGGCAGCGATAGCAGCGGCACAGCGAGCGGCCTCCTGAAACGCGGGCATCGCGGGGCCAGACTGTTCAGTCGACCCTGCAAGTCGCGACGGCAAGGTCGCACGCCCCGAGGTCGCCCGCCTCGAGGCAGCACTGGTGCTCCGAGCAGTCGGCAACGACGTCCCCCCTGACGGCGCCACCTGCGCAGAACTGGCTTTCTGGGCAGTCGGCAACGACTCCCTCCCAGGTGGCTCAACCGAAGCAGCGCTGGTACTCTTAGTTGTCGACAAAGTCATCTCTCCCCGACGGTGTCGCAGGGGCCGAACAGGCGGCCCGCGGCAAGTACTGGGCAGCATCCTCTCTCACGATGCCCATCTGATCTTGAGTGGCTGGCGCCCCGCCTGTCTGCGCTCTAACGCCGTGGGGCCCCGCGTTCGGCGGCGACGGAACCCGGGGCGACCCCGAGGAGCAGTTGCCCAACACTTGCGATCGAAAGCCGAGTGGGGAAGCCGAGGCATGCGTTCTAACGCCTCGTGGCGACTGAACCTGGCACGACTCAAGGAGCAGTGACCCAGGATTTGCGTTCTGGCACTTTCTACAAGTCGAACTCGCCCAGCGCGAGTTGCGCTGCGACCAGAAAGTCATTCAGCGCAGGGGCAGAAAGAAGTGCGCGCGCGACTCCGACAGGCCGCCCCGCGCACCGCCCCCCAGATGCCCCCCCCCCCGCGCGGGGCCAGGCTGGCGCGGCGCAGCCAGACGCCAATGTTCCGACGCAAAGCGCGCCAGTCTGATGCCGTGCTCCAGCGAACCACGCCCCGCCCGTCTCAAACGCGCCCTTCTCCACCCTCTCGGGCGTCCACCCCCCTGCCGTCGCGCGCAGCGCGTGGGCCGCAGAGGGCAGGGGGGCCTACGTCAGCCCGAGGTGCCTGCGATGCACCCCAACGGGGTCCGAGGTGGCGGGCGCACTCGCATTCGGAATCACGAGGTCCCCCCGCCTCCCCCCCCGCTCCTTTTCACGCGCGAAGCCAGAGCCCGCCTGGGGGCGACCGCGCGCGGTGCGCAAGTGTAAAACTGCGCCATCAGTTGACAGAGCAACGCCGCGACCACCCCCGTGGAATCACGCGCGGCAGCGTTCGGGCGTCGGCAACTGCCCTGGATTATCCGCGCGCGTCTCCAGTAAGCACGCGGCGTCAATCCCCCGAGAAGTTGGGGCATCCGCGCGCGCCGCGCGCTCGCCAGCTGCGACAGCGCAGCGCGGGGCGAAAAAATGGGCGCGACTGTTCCGAGCGCAGACAGAACGAGAAGAGCTAGGCGAGAAAACCCCATTCACTCCAGTGGCAGGGCCGCCAGGTGTGAGACCACCCCCGGGATTCAAGCCGGAACTGGGGCTGGCTGACTGAGCCCCGCCCCGGCAAACTAAGGGCGCAAAGCGCCCAGGGCCCGCCCCAGACGGCCCTTCGCCGGACGAAAGAGCAGGGCCCCTAGGAGAGCGCAGAAACGTGACAGACGGAGCACCCGCGGTCCCGAGGCTGGAAGCACCTGGAATACTAAGCCCTTCGCAGAAAAGGACGAAACGCGGGCGCAGCCCGCATGGGCCGCTCTGCCGAAATTATCGAGATCGTTCGGATCAAGCAAGAGACCCCGCGCGCCAGACTCAGAGACCGCGACCGTCGCCACCGCGACGACTGGGTGCACGTCCTGGGCACGCTTGATATCTGCGAAACGTTCCTCTTCACGAAACGCCACCCTCGCGAGCGCATCCTGCATGCGATCGAAATTAGTACCGAAGTGGTCATCAAGCCCCTGAACATTCAAGCTCTGCTGTGTGAGTGGTGGGGCCTGCCGAACGAAATCCTAAAGGCTCGATGGTTTGGACGCGATCGCGCTGATGTTGCCCAAGTGTACCAGCAGGCCGCCGACGCGGGGAAGTGAATCGCTTACCCCGAAGGGCCTTCAGAGAGACAGGTGCCATCACTCCCGCCATGTTTGGAATGCGGGGCGGAAGATAAGACGGGCCGCGGCGGGCCGCGGCGAGGCGGGCGCAAAAACACCCGAGAAGCGGGTCGGAGGGACGCCAGGCAGAGCGGGTCGCGCGAACAACCCTTGAGCCAAAATGATTTGAGTCAAAATGGACACGGGGGAGGAGGACGAGGAGGACGAGGAGGAGGAGGAGGAGGAAGAGGCGGCGGAGAACCCTGAAATCTGGGTGGCGGCACCTTTGTTTCCAGACAGGGCGTTCTCACGGAGTCTCGGGCCCTGGGGCCCTCACGGATCCGCCTGGCCTGAGAGGGCGCCGCAGAAACACGGGGTCTGGGGCTCCAAACGTGATGATTCAAGGTGTTGCAATGTTTTCGCGACGACGGATCTCGCGAGGGAAAAGGAAGCAAGAGGAAACGGAGAGGCAGGAGACAGAGAGGGATACGTAGGAGGAAGGGAAGGGGCAGGAGGAGGCAAGGGGAAGAGGCGAAGGAGAGAAACCACAGTAAACCAGCAAGCGCACAAACACACACACACACACACACCCACACATACATACGCGCACACACACACACGCACACACACACACACGCGCACACACACACACGCCCACACACACACACACACACACACACACACACACGCACGCCACACTTTTGGTCGCGAGCTCGGCGGACGCACGAATCGGATTAGCAAAGGATGGGCCGCAGCGGAGCGAATTGCGCACCAAACACCTCTGCACGCGCACACACACAATGCTGGCCCCCTCCTTCCCGATGGTGCAGGGCCCAACGGTGCACGAGACGATGCACGGGACGCGCAAACACAAATTGCCGACGCACGTGCGGCAGCCGCGCACGAGCCAGGGCCATGGACCCCCCGGCAACGGACGTGCTGAAGTGTGCTGGCGAGCAAAAAATGCAAGCGACCGCATGCACCAAACGGGCAAAAGATAACGAAAAGGAAGGTCGCCTACGGAAAAAGCGCGGGAACGACACAGTCGAGACTGTCTGGCCGAGCAGTACAATCGGATCAACTCCCATCAAGTCCTTACGGCTTTAAGGGGACCATGTTTGGGTCAGCGCAATGTGCTTGCTGAGAGTTATGCACCTTTACATCATCCAGCTGTCGCAGAGTTTGAACGTGCGTCTGATCAGAATACACTCCCACCCCTGCAATATCTGAAGGCCGTGCTGAGATGGGTACCAAGGCGAGGAGCCGAAAGAGGCGCTGCCTGAGGGTACTCTGGATCAAACTTCGAGCTTCGTCACCACAGACACACACCACACTGTTAAAGACCTTCACGTTGATCCGAACACTGTCTTCCGCTTTGCCGAATATGTGGGTGGTCGATGTTCGTTGCAGAGCCACTGTCAATATCAATGAGAATAAGACGATCATGTCTGACTGCCGGAGTACATCTGCAGTAACGCTAAAAGACAGCACGACATGAATTCAAAAGAGTGAGGCCTGCATCAAAACATCATGGCCAGTGCTTCGTTCGCGACACATTAGCCAAAACACCAAACTATTCCACCCTGGGTGCGGTAATCACCGTCAACGATCGCAAAGTGAGGGGCATATTGGATCTACTCGATCACGACACCAAGCATGCACAATGGGAGATTGCCGGGGTTTCGACTCCACACTTGCTCCATATCCTGTGAAGACCGAAACGTTTCTCCAGCGCTCTCCCTCCATCCCTTCCCCCCTCACCCTCGCCTCCCACCAGGCATATCCCTTTTCCCTGCATTCCTTGCCTCCCTCGTTCGCTCGCCCCCACTTCCGTCCACCAATTCCGCCCCCTCAGCCGTCCGTCTCCCAAATGATGGCGCAATTGAGGCAGGCGCTTGCGTTGGAACCGGAATAGGTCTGGCACACCTCGCGAGAGGCCACGGGTCGAATGATCCCCCTTCCAATTGCCAAACCCACTCTGCAACTTCTGCCGCAGGTCCACACGACTTCCACCCACACCTAGGAGGGAGAGGGCTGAGAAAAAACCGAGAAGGAAAGTACAACGGAGGAGGGGGAGAGATATAGACCCTGGGGGGCCTAGGCTACCCCAGGGCCTACTGAAAAAACCTAGGTTTGCCTGGGGTAGGTAGGGCCTACGAAAGGCCCTAAGCTTGCCTAGGATAGGGCCTACGAAAAAAATGCCCTAGAATTGCCTGGTGTAGGGCCAACTGAAGCCTCTAGGTTTGCTTCCCAACGGCAAGGCCTCTTGAAGGTCCCAGGGTAGGCCTAGGTGTAGGCCCTGGGGACAGGCCGTAGGGGTATGCCCTAGGGGTGGCACTAAGTAGCCCTAGACGTAGGCCATAGGGGTCGCCCTAGGATAGCCATAGGAATAAGCCTTTCGGGAAACCCTAGGGGTAGGCAATCGGGGTAGCCGGTTGG